AAAGCCGGTCAAAGTTATGGTCAAAGGGGTTCAATAGTCCACATTCAAAAATTCCAAAAATGTCACATTTTTTCAAAATAATTCCCAGAATGTCAACTTTTTCAAAATATTTCCTACATTGTCACCTTCTTGAAGATAATTCCCAAAATGTCACTTTTTTCGAAATATTTCCCAGAATGTCACCGGGTCGGGTCAACGGGTTGGTCAACGGGTCGGGTCAGACTGGTCAACCCGGTTCGGGCCGGTCAAACCGGTCACAACATCACCCAGCAGATTCGGAACTCCACCACACGCAGGGGCGGCGCGTGGGGGCACGTGAAGGCTCTTTCGGACTCCAAAAATTCCTAAAAAAATTTCTTAAAATTATTTTAAGCGATTTTGAGTCATTTACCAACCTCGGTTCAAATTTTTGAATGGTAGAGAGCTCGATTTCAACTCGGTCGAATCTTTGACCGCTCCAACTCCCACACGCGTCGTCGCCTACGGAGACAAGGACGACATCGTCGGACTCGGAACGACACCAGGAACACGATGGTGCGGGAGGTGTCGAAAACCGATCAACGATCGGAGATGAATTTAAGATTTTCCCGGCGGTGGTGCTAAAAAAACATCGAGACTTTGACTCGAAATTCACGTCGCTTGGCAGCGTTTCGCTATAATTGGTTTACTGGGTTTTGATCACTGGTCGAAGATGAACACGATGGTGGTTTCAATTTGACGATCAGAGGTCGGACGGCTTCGTAATCGAGCTTGAAAGTAGGGGTACGAGAGGAGGTATATTTTAGCAAATTAGTTTCAAATTTTGAAATCAGAAACGCATTGTAATTATTTAAGAACATGTTCTGCCGACACTCCTTGGGGGAATTCAGGGAGGAATTCAGGGCTTGGTCCCTGAATTTTCTTCAACTTCTGAAATGGCTTCAATAATTTTCATAAATTTTAATTTAGTCACTAAATTTCACCAAATTACACCGATTTAATTTTTTTTTTTCGGGTTGTTACAAAGCTGGAAGAGGCTTCTCAAAATAAATAAAGAGGAGAGGAAGTTCTAGTATTGAATTTTCCTAAAAAGATTGAGCAAAAAGGAAAGGAGTTGATTGTGAGCCAGGCCAATGGAAACCTTATTTCTGCAAAGAGGGCAATTGGATTGATACTTAAACCACACATCGATGTAATCGACATGGGAGCATTGGTTGCACCGGGGAAGCCGTCGGAGCCTTTCCCCTTCTTCTGCTTCGTATAGACACACATAATATTAGAGAACATTTTAACCTGGACCATCAGCCTTTGGTGTTGTGGGATAGTATCTGTAAGGGAAGGTGAAGAACACATTGAAGTTGGAGTTGAGCAATACATTTATAAGCTTCATGCAACGATGAATGGCGAAGAAGAAGACGAAAATGGTGGTGGTTAGAACAAGGGAATTCTTCCTGTAACAGCTACTAGGACAAGCCAACCAACTGCCTATATCGCTACTCAGTTCCAACTCAGTTGTCATGCCTATTCCCTTGGTGGAAAATTTACTCTTGTTTTTCAATAACATAGAGAGAGATACATATATGGTACAGAAAGATATCATCCACCCACAACATCATTAAACTACACTAAATCTACTTTTTGTGCAAGATTTGAATACTTAATATGTGGCGTTGAAGCATAACACATATATATATATATTTGATGAATACTACCTAACACAAGTTTATATACCTAATGTTGACATGTGGTTCATAAATTCCTGCACTTGTTTCTTTCTGGGGATATAATTAATTAGCAATCTAAAGCATGGAACGATACATTGAATGGGTTTAGGTTAGGTTTGGTTTGTTTTAAAGAAGTGGTTAATTAAATCTTGCCTTGTTGATTAACATGAAGGCGGATTGAAGCAAACAATGTTTTAGCAGAGAGTGGAAACTACGCAGCCCAAATAATCAAACCAGATTTGTTGGGGTAGAAAACAGGTGTACCAACTGCAAAACTGCTTTGGCTTTGGGTTATCAAATTTCAACTTACACGTTATACTTATCATTTTTAAGGGGTAGGGATGAAAGAGATGCTTATGTATACATACATATACAGTTAATTTCATTTGTTTAAATGATTACATAATATATGTTCAAATTTTTTTAGCTAATTGATAATAACACATACGTTGTAAAAGCAGTTAATCAAACTTGAAACCTTAAAAAATAACCTTCTCTTTTATCACCTAGTTTCATTAATTTCTGTTGAACTATATTTTGATATAACAATTTAAGGCAAAATCAGTACTGCTTTTTAATATTTAATCAACTAACCGTTACTAGCCGTTGAGGCCTGATGGTATCGATACTATGAAAATGGTATTGGTACTACTATACATAGTAGTGTCGGTACCCCTTTGGGTATCGGTACCTCTTTTGCATTCTGAAATCTGAGCGAAGCTGGTAGTATCAGTACTACCTAGTGAGTATCGATACTTCTCTTACCTTTGGTATCGATACCAGATGAACAATATCGATACGGCTAGTAACGACTAGTTGATTAAATATTAACAAATGTAGTATTGATAATCTCTTTAGGAGTACCGATACCCCTTGGTCTGGGCAACTTTATTTTGCACTAAATTTGATCCGCAATGACTCCAAACAACCTCCAATGGCTAGAAACAACCACAACAACATTCTTTGTTAGAAAATCCTTAATGAATAGCTAAGGTAGTAGATGTGGGTTGATAAGTCGAACCACTTTAAATCCTCGTGCCAAATTGTATTATCTTTTTGTTCTCCTTACTCCCTAAATTCAATTTTATCTTTTAAACCCTTTTACACTTTTTCGGTTATCAATTGAGCCTCTTCAATGTTCCTAACAATTGATACCAGAGACTAACTCTTTAAAAGGTTTAATCACCTTGAGACGTTCCTAGAAGAAGCACTACCAATTCCTAAAGCAATCGACAAAGAAATGACCTCAACCTTCGGTGCCTACTATATTGAAGATTCACAACCGGTCAACAAGCCATCATTCTTCAATGGAGAAAATTATGCCTATTGGAAGAATAGGATAAAGCTCTTCATTCAAGCCAACAATCTAGGAGCTTGGAATTCGATCATAAAAGGCTACACCACTCCAACCGATGAGATGGACGATTGGAGTCATGGAGAGAACAAAACGTTCCAGCTCAATGCTAAGGCCATGCACATTCTCTTTTGTGCATTAGGCCCAAATGAATATGGAAGAGTCTCCTCTTGTTCTAATTCCAAGGAGATATGGGATAAACTCCAAGTTACTCATGAGGGAACCGATGAAGTGAGGGAAACCAAGATAAGTCTTGTCAACCATAGCTACAAGAATTTCAAGATGAAACCTAATGAAGACATCAAAGCTATGACGGATAGATTTTCCGTGGTTGTCAACGGTATCAAAAGATTTGGAGAAGTTATCTCCAATGAGAAGTTAGTGAGGAAGATGATCTACTCTCTTCCAAAGTCTTCGCAATCAAATAAGACGACTATTATCAAAGCTAGAGACCTAAAGTCTCTCACACTTGACGAATTGATTGGTTCTTTTCTCACTCATGAGTTGATGGCGAAGGAAGAGGAAGATGATAAAGAAAATAAGGAAAAGAAGAATGAAGAAAAGGAGGAGGAGATGGGGGTTGCTTTCAAATCCACCAATGAGAGCTATGAAGATTAAAGTGAAGAGGTGGATGAAAACGATGATGAAGAAGAAGATATGGCCAAGCTCTTCAAAAAGATGAAAAGATTCATGTCCTCCAAGGTAGTGAAGCATGAATCAACCAAAAAGAAGGGTCCCCCGGTGTGCTTTAATTGTCAAAGAAAGGGGCATGTTAAATATGAATGCCATCTTCTAAAGAATAAGGGATCTTCAAAGAAAAAAACATTTGTGGTAGCTTGGAGTGATGAAGATGAAGTAGCCAACCTATGCCTCATGGCCATCGAAGATGATTCCGAGGTATCTTCTAACTCAAATGAGTTAAATTCACATTCTTTTAATGAGTTATATTTAGAATTTGAGACCATGAATTCCAAATATAATAAATTAATTTCAAAATTTAAAGTTGAAAATGATTTGATTTTGAAAGCCAAAGTTGATTTTGAAAATCAAAATGAAATTTTGAAAAATGATTGAGTTTTAAAAAGTCAAAATCAATGATTTAGAAAAAGAGAATTTTGATTTGAAAGTTAAGCTAGAGAGCTTAACAAAATAAAAACAATTAATTTCTCAAAACAACTCATTAAGTTTAAAAATGGCAAAATGCTCACATTGCCATTTTTATGGTCACATGGAACATACTTGTCCTTTGAAGAAAGGAAAATGTTTAAAATTAGACAAGTATGGGTTCCTAAGGGAACAAGGGGCATTAAAACTAATGTTCAAGGATCCAAAGCAATTTGGATACCAAAATCAAAATAAATGTCTCTTGTAGGTGTGTGGGAGCAATGGTGATGAAAATGAAGAAGTCAATATGCTCTAACCACACTAAAAAAGGAATGGGTAACCTCTAAGCTTAATACTTTTGATTTTGATTATTTGGTTGCTCATTTTGATTTAAGCATGCATCAGTTTTGATTTTAATGATTTGATGTTTTTCATCTTATGTATGTTAAAAAGATGTTATGATGAACATTTTAAATTTTTAATGATTTTTCATAATTTTTAGTTCATCATAATGAATGTTGGTCAAAATTGATTTTAATGCAAATGATATCTCTCTAACAATTGATATCAACTTTTCAAATGCTTTGATTTTACAAATTTTAAATTTTTGATCTAAATTTTAAATGTTTATGCATGTGTTTTAATGGTTAAAGATATCTCTCTAACAATTGATATCAATTTTTTTTAAATGCATAACATTTTTTTGAAAAACTTTATGCATATGCACTTAATTTCTACATTGGATATTGCATAAAGTATTTTAGACTTGAATATATTGAATTTGATGTGTTACAAACTTTTTTTTTTGTTATGCTTTGTTGAAATTCAATTTTTTTAAGTGTCAAGTTTTTAAAGTCAATTTTTGTTTGGAATGCACTTTTTGAGGTGGAGCTTTGATTTTTCAAATGTTTTTAATGTAGAAATTACCACTTACTCTCCAATGTTATGTTTGAACTTTAAAGTTGAATTCTTTTTGATTTAACAAAAAGGGGGAGAAGTATTGGTTTGAAAATTTCAATTTCTTAATGAAAAAGGGGGAGCTGAACATTTTCACATATTTTCCAACTTTTGGTACCTTTTTCATTAAACATTTTAATAAGGGGTGCCAAAAACAAATTTTCAAATGTTTTGTTATATCAAAAAGGGGGAGATTGTTGAACTATATTTTGATATAAAAATTTAAGGCAAAATATTTTTGGACTTGAATTGAATTTATTCAAAGTTTTCAAAAATAATTCAAAGTCCTTAAAAGTTTGGAATTGAGCACAAAACAATTTTTTTTTACAAGTAGTACCGATACTGTTCTTACAGTATCGATACCAATTGAACAAGTATCGATACTGTTCATATGGTACCGATACCAAAGGTAAGGGAAGTATCGATACTCACTAGGTAGTACCGATACTACCAGCTTTCCTCAGATTTCAAAATGCAAAAGAGGTACCGATACCCAAATGGGTACCGATACTACTATGTATAGTAGTACCGATACCATTACAATAGTATCGATACCATTAGACCCCAACGGCTAGTAACGACTAGTTTATTTAAATATTAACAAAGGTAGTACCGATACCCCTTGGTCTAAGCAACTTTATTTTGCACGGAAATTGATCCCCAACGGCTCCAAACAATATCCAACGACTAGAAACGGCCACAACAACATTCCATCACATAAATACAAGTTCAAGACAATTGAAGAAGTGTTAGAACACCTATCCAAGCAATCAAACACAAGAGAAGAGTTTTTCATTCTTATTTTCAATTCTCTTGTAAATATTTGTGTTTTTGTGAGTTTTTAATTTGTAAACACCTTTCTTTCTAGAGGTTTATTTGTTTACACTCTTTTTCCTTCGTAAAGGGTTTTGGTTCTATCTTAGCCATTGAAAAGATAGGGAGTTGTAAATGTTATCTTTTGATTCTTTAAAAAGAAAGAACAAATTAGTGAATTTGTTAGAAAATCCTTAGTGAGGAGCTAAGGTAGTGGATGTAGATTTGGTTGATAAGTCGAACCACTTTATATCCTTGTGCCAAATTGTATTATCTTTTTGTTCTCCTTACTCCCTAAATTCAATTTTATCTTTTAAACCCCTTTGCACTTTTTCAGTTATCAATTTAGCCTCTTTAATAATCCTAACAATTTCATTTGTTGATTCAATACAAATGCTGCAAGTAACCGTAAAACGGGGAGGCAAACAATTGTTTTGTTTGTTACAGCTCACAATTTATATTGTGGGGTAAGAATTGATTTTATCTACATTTTTGGAGCATTTTCAACCTTATCAAGACATGAGAAGACAAAGTAGTCAGTTTCAGTTGATCACGGGTAGAACCTAATTATAAGTAGTTATCTAAGGAGGAAAAGATTAGATTATTTTTTGTTTGGTCGTTCCATATTACATTCCACTTCTAGGTCTGGTTCTAGTATAATAATATTTATGCTCCATTCAAAGGATTTAGAGTTGAGTGTTGTGAACGAATCGAGTGACCTCTGTGATAAAAGAATTATTGTTATTCATTGAGGCCCCGGTTTGAGCACCAGAAACACCAGGGATGTGAGCATTAAATTTTGAGAGTTATCTTTGAATATTCCTTGAGGTACGGGTTTCGAGCACCAAGAATGTTAGCGGTGTAAGTGTTCAATGTCAAACGGTTGAGAGATCTTTGAACATATATTACCCTCTACTTACCCCAGATTAAAAGAAAAAAGAGTTGAGTTTTGTTACAAGTCTTCCTTTCGGTATTTTTTTTATTAAGCTAAGGTGATTACAAAGTAGTATATGTTCTAAATACTCTCAATTATTTGACAATGAACTCAATCACCTTGCTGCAGCCGCTGGTGCCCGAACTCGTGACCTCTAGGAACAACAACGATTCCTTTCCGATAATTAAATTCCTCAATTCTCGTATCAATATCATAATAGATAGTAAAACTATGTGGGAATTACAATCTATCATACACATTTTTAATAGTTTGAGGGTGAATACAAGATAATATGTTCTAAAAATTCTCAACCATTTGACAATAAACGTTCATACATCCCAATAGATGTCGTTCTCAAACCCAGGATGTCAAAATAATAACAATTACTTAACCATTGAGATCACTTGGTTCGTATATGTGTACTTCTACCATACACATTCTTGGCAACGAGAGATAAAATTACAACTAGATTTGGATAACATGATGAAATCATGACCCAAAAACCCATTTCAATTAACCCGAATGCAAATCCACCCCAACTTGATTTAACCATACAATTCAAGTCAACAGCACCCTGAACACGCCCAAACTAAATCCAAAATGACCCGGATCAATAACCCAAAATAACTGAAACCATCATAATATTTATTCATTCATTTCATTTGGAGACAAATGAAGGGATAAAAAAACTAAGCTTGCTCTTCCAATTCCAATCATATGCACATAAATAAATAAAGCCAATGCATATTATTAACCCAAACACAATTGTGCTACTATGCCCATGACGTCTTATGTCTTGTCAGGGACCAAAGACAAAGATCAACCCACTGTTTCTTTCCATTTGGATTTTGATTTCGAATGAAATATATCATATCCACCACGTAACTAATCCTTCTTGTAAACCAGAGTTGGATATTCTGGGCTCCACATGTTGTTCTGCACATATTCTAGAACGTCCTCCTGCACCATTACATTATATACATCTCATTCTTACAATTCATGCGTTTGAAACACAACACCACCACTTTTTTATAGGTCAAAAGTCATGTTACCTCGTCCTTGCATATATTTTGGAGCTTTCTAGCATCAATGTCATGATATCCTTCTGCCAGATCCTCTTTCACAGCTTCCTGCACAACAGCCGCTGCTACCTCCTTTGTTATATCTCTTATCCTACAAACAAACAAATAAATAAATAAATTCAAGTATACGACACCAACTTTATTTTCCGGGTAAGAGAAATTATATATATATTAAGGCCTCATCACTTACTTCGCTATTGGAGGGAATATAATGCCTTTAAGGGTGCGTTTGGTTCATGTAATATAAGATTACAAGTAGGAATAAGATTACCTTGAGGTTCTTAACCTTGAGGTCGTGGGATCGAGTCTCATGGTGGGCAATTCATAATTTGGAGGTCTCCCACGGAAGCTGCTCTCAACCTGGCGTTGGGGGCAGCCTACAATCTTACCTCCCCCTTACCCCATTACATATGGGAATAAAGGTCAGCTAATTTAATAAGATTACCGGAATGTAACGTTACCTAACACATTACTGGGAATGTTACATTACTGTGTTTGGTTTGTTTGGCAGTAATATAAGATTACAGTGTTTGTTGAAAGAATAAAAGATTATTAAAATGTATAATTTACCAAATTGACCTTGTTCTATATTTTTTAACAAGTGATATTCTAATTATTTAAATAAAAATTATTTATATAAATATTCATCGATAATATATTATTTTATTATTTAAATATATCATGTATTATTTTAATTTTAATTAATATTAAATTTTACATAATTTATTTAAAAAATATATTAAAATTTTACTTCAACATAATTTATATAAAAATATTTCATGTTCAATATTAGGGATTTTTAACTTTCATTATGATTTTGAATCGACCATGACGATGATTCCGTTGGGTAATATTTTCCACACAAAATAGCTGCTGGGGTATTGGTACCTCTAAAGGAGTATAACATATTGTGTGCGTGTGTATATATATATATATATATATATATATATTCATGCTTCAGATGATTTAAGCTAAACCATAACACACCCTTTAACTGAAGAGCCTAAACCTAATTGTCGTGTCAAAGTAGATTATATCCATTAGATATCTTACTGTTCTAATTTGCAAACAACAATTGCATACCATAGTAGAGGTGCAAGTGTTTGTAACAACAAGTCTACCTGCAACAATGATTGCATTGTAGAGGTGCAAGTGTTTGTTACAGCTACAGCAGCACGCAATCCGAACATCCTTGCATGGTGAGAGAGAGGATAATTCGTCTTACTGAAGGCAGTTATATCAGTTGCGAAGCATTACTTGTTTGTTGTGAATGCTCTACCAACTATTCCTTGGCCTCGGAATAGGTGATGCTTGGAGCACACTTATAGGAAGCCCGAAAGACCTTCATCAGCCACGAAGCAAGCGGAATCCAAGGTGGAAACGCAACGATAAAAGTTCTCATCAGAATGTCGGCATCCACTTTTACCTTGATTGAGGCACGGTGCCCATGTTAAAGCCATTGACAGCTTATATCTCTTGCAGATGGATATTAGAACCTCGACTATATCAGGCAATGCAGCTTGATACAACTCGTTACAAGTCTGTGAAACCATAGGAGTTGCTTTGTCTCAGAAAAGAACGATAAAAATTTCAAATAGTTGAAACTATAGGCTTAAGATGCCTTTGTCTTTACCTCAACACCAGGCGGAGTGAAGCTGTGTGAGCTCCTTTGATCAACAGCCTGCGAATAGATACAATTTATTTAAACCAGAACATTAGGATAGAAGAGGGCCCTATAGGTGACAAGTGAGTAACATTAATAAACAAATACATGACCATTGGCTCTAATGAAAGGTTTTTTCTATGTATTTAATTTACTTTTCTAAAAAATTAAAAGTCAATTACTATATATGGCATGCAACAAAGTTGTTATTATGAAAAATGAAGAAAAATGAGAAAAACCAGGGACAGTTGGTGCATTAAAATACGAAAAATCCGTAATGGACGACTATGAAGTATGCCAGCGGCATAACACATCACATACAACAAGCAATCATAGAATCAGAAAGATGCATAAGCAGACGCAATCCGAATTTTGCAGCTACAATATGAATTTAGCAGCTACAAAGATGTCTACGATGCTAAAACGACTCATGAGGTATATTCAAAACTCTCGAGCAGCAAACTCTCCTGAGTTGTTTAACGGTTAAAGGATCAGAATATCATATGATAAACGAAGAACATGAAGATTATGAAGGAAAAAGAGGAGACCTCATGAGCTTTGCAGACATGTTCAAGTTTCGGGTGATAATTGATCTCTTGAGTAGTTGTGACGACCTCAACACCCAAGCAAGTTCCGTTCCCCCGCTTGAAAACAATACGAGGATATTGATCGCTTCTGAAGAAACGAACATCAGGTGTCCACTCAGGTAACTTCCTTAAAAAGACACGGCCAGGCAACCCGACAGATTCCTTTGAATCCTCCTCGACTGAGAAGTTGTAGGATTCGGAGACATCTCTAAAGATTTTGAGACTCCTGCAATTCGTATTGAGCGAGTAAGGCTGACCTTCGTCGTAAGTACATGCTTCCCTCCTCTTTTTACAGGCACCCAGATTTGTATGAGGACATCCATATCTTTTATAGATTCCTTCAAATATCCAATAGCATGCATTAGTCTCTCTTTCATAGATGACAAAATACCAGATTCCTCCCTCGGTCCTATCCACCATCTATTCCCCAATTCGGTGCCTTGGACTACAAAACATCCAGGTTGTGGCATCGATGTAGCGTTTCCAACAGCCGACCAGTTTTTTGACTTAATTCGAGAATGGTCCGGAAACCATTGTTTCCACCTCTCCTTGATGCAAACTCTGAGAAGGGTCATTCGGATCCGGACCACTAGATGTTGAAGGACCAGGATGCATAAAGTTGAACCCATCGCTAGTCTCTAACCAACATCCTTCAAACAAGAGTTCATCCATAAAATCGAAAGCCATGGCAGCAATATCATCGTAGAAGTTTCTGAATGTAGAATTCGGTGCTAATCCGCCATCGCCTTCCATGTCAAGAAAATGATTTCGAAATTTGCTTCTAAACAAGAGCCTATTGGCCTATATTACATTCCAATTGCAAACACTATCATGAACCGAAACAAAGAAGCAGAGTGATGATGAAAAACAAAAAGAGGAATTTCTAGTAAAGATCCATTTTCCCCGTATTCAAACACCCAATCTGCCCCAAACGCAGAAACATCGTTAACCAAACCTAAAACAAATTATCCAACATCAGCTTCCACATGCAATAATCACAGGCTTTGAAACAAACACTAGATTAAAGAGAAAAACCCCATTGCTTAAACACTCTTTCCTCCTTACAAATTCCAGATTTTACTATTAATAGAAAAGGAAAACATACAAATAAAGAAGTAAAAACAAAGAAGGAGATGATTTCAACTCACTTTACAAAGAATGTTTGAGGAAAAAAAACCCAGTTTTGGTTCTATGGCTGTGCACTGTTTGAGTGAAAGTTGCCTTTGTTTTACACCGAAAACAACAAAACACACAGAGAAGCAATTTCAATCACAGTGATTTTATCATCAGTTCTTGATGGTACCTTGGGTTGTGCTTTTTATATAAACTCACATCCTTGCTTGATCGCTTTTAGCTTTTCAGAGAATCAGCTTTTCAGGGGGAGCGGCGACCAAGGTGGACGGAAATAACGCACGACGGAAATTTTAAATCAGAACGAAGGGAGATGGTTATTTTAGACAACAAGATGGAAATAATGAAATACATGCGGATAGATATTCCGGGAAAATAGTAAAAAGAATCACTGTTGGTTTTGGCTTTTAACTGGCACTTGGTAATGTGTCATATCTAAATGTGGGTATATTCAACCGGAAAAAAAATATTTCTCTCAAGAATGAATTATACCGTAAACTAAACGGGCCTAGGAACTTTCTCTTCTTCATATAGGAAGCTAGACTGCAATTGTCAATTTAAGAGAACAGCTTCTATCATGGCCACTTGGAACAACTAACAACAATTAAGTTAATAATATATATTACACTTATCAGGACTTGACTAATCCACAAGTTACTCCCAAAATGCCTTTAGAAAGGTACGGCCAACAGATCCTCCTTATCCCTAATTTTATAGAAGAATAAACTGAAGTGGCTTAGTGTGAATGGAAATGCAGTCACTGTCACTGTCTTTATCAGTTTATCCCTTTGCATACTCATAATCTACTTAAATTTCATATATACTAGTAACGGCTAAAAAATTATACCAGATATCTTCAACATAAGCTCCTAAGTCTTGACAGGTGAATATTATGAAGCATTCATAAAAATATTGAAAAAAAAACAGAACAAAAAAATGAACCACGCCGTTCTGCTGCAGCCTGTAGCAATCCATCCGAAATGAGCCTAGCGTCAGACAGAAGAGTTCCAAGCCCAATACTACAGAAAAGACAGGTAAAGAACAATATATGATGAATTAGAGAATCACAAAGTAAAAAGAAACCATTGTGAAATGAATTAAAAAACTGACCCTGGAAAGAGATACATGTTGTTTTCTTGGTTGCAATGCCCTATACGACCATTTCCTAAATTGTTCATGACTTAAAATAAGTAAACCTTTCACTCTCAAATGAGAAAATGGGGAACGCTTTTCCTGTTTGGAACTTGTATAATAATCCAGATGCTACAGAATTTCAGGCAGAAAATGAGGACCTTGTACAATAAGAGGCTATAATTCATATAAATTTCAGCATTTTTAACACACAGAGCCCCTACATGGCAAATTGGCAGAGGACTACAAAAATTTAAAGTTGACAATGTTTAACAAGGTAGGTTCGACACATACCAAGATCAACATCTCTAAATGGACTTCCACTTGCAAATATAATGTTGTCGCCTACAATTTTGAAAGCTTCCTCTGGAGTGCACTCAGCTGTGATTAACAAGGGCAAAAAAGTCCATGACAAATCTCAGTACAAATATTAATGGCCCTAATTTTATGTCCCCAAAATATTTTAAAAAATGTACCATTTATAAAGCTCAAGATATATAATAACCTCTAAAGTGGACTCTATAACATATATCAAGTGAAAGAAAAAAGTGAAAACTTAAATAGAGATTCTATCAGATGGTTTTCCTTTATGCCTGTCCCCTTGCAAAAAGGAGTGCCTAGGCCCACTAGGCATGTGCCTGAGCAAATGGGCCAAGCCTGAAAGATTCTGAGACGCTTTTGTTGTAAAATGCAAAGACACAAGGCGCAGGCGCACCTAGGTGCATGCCTTGACAAGACTGCTTCGGGTATGAAGTGTTAAATTGTAGACTAATAAAGACTTGGATTTCGTAATGATTCAAAACAGTGAACATAGATTTCAGAATTGTCACACTAGCAAAAGCAAATCTTATGCTTGCGTAACATGTAAAATTCAATTTTACCTCTTTGGAGAACAATCCTCCAACTCCAGACAACCCAAGAAGCACATCTGGCTGTACTTGCATCACCTGTTTAGCCAGATTAAAGGAAGGATTTAAATGTGAAAGAAATACAGAGACTTCACAATGTATCAGATAACATATCTCTGAAGTGATGAAAGAGGGAAATGGAACCATAATGAAGTACAAGTCATTCCCACAGGGCTACTTTATTCCATGTGTAATATATATAAAGAGCTGAAAAAAATGTTTCTGTGCTAGCATTTTACAAACCACTTCTGCAAGACTTGCACCCTCTCTTAATCCTTGACGGCCTGCTTCGTTGATATTTCTTGCAAATGGCAGGGCATCTGGATCAATATTTTCTCATTCGTCAGTGATAAGACCCTGGATTAAACAACACATTGTGTTAGAATGTATATATAACTATGCAAAGGTAACATTGAACCATCATATTCTAAGAAGAAAGAAACAGAGCTGTACAAATGCCAAAATGACATCAATAGTTTTGTAATGGATAGATATAAATGAAACTGATGGGACCAAAAGATGATTTTAGCATTAGGCACCACACGAAACGTTGTGATATTGATTACAAGAAATAAATCAAAATAGTTACTTAAGCAATCTTTTAGTCTTCTTATGATGGCCCCAATTTCTAAAAATATTTGATGAAAAACTAGATGTAATGTTGAAAGCAACAAATAGTCCTTGTAAGCACAACTCGCTGGCTGAATTCCAGAGTTTCTAAGATATTATGCTACTTACATTAGCATCAACAATCCAGAATTGTCTCTTTGCAATATCAAAAGCTGTCTTGTTATTTCCTAACATCCTGGCCATTGTTTTCCTCGCAGCATTGACAACCCCAATCCCTGCACTGCAGTAGCAAACAAGTTCAAATGTTTCTGTGAGTTGTTACGTTTCGAATTAAATATTAGTTTCCTACCTTATCTCTAACTCTAGTATCCTAGTTTTTAGAAAAGATAACTTCTAACTTATCTAGGACTCTCATCTACTACTTGTATATAACCCTTGTTGTATCCTCATATATTTTCACGAAAAATAGAATAAAATAACAGCCTTTTCTTCCAGCAAACCCTATTTCTACATGGTATCAATTTAGGTTAGATCCTTTATTGCCTTCCCTCGGCCACAATAATGGAGGCAAAAGTACTCCTGATGGTTCCGTGAACCTTGTCGAAAACCGTGAATTATAGAAGATGCATCGTTGAATTGAATTAATAAATACGCAATTCCTAAAACTTTTTTACATGGTATTTAGTTTTTCCAAACAAGAGAAAAGAAAAAACCGAACAAAAGAAAAAAAAGTCAAAACGTAAAAAAACATCCTGAAAAGCATCCATTGCGTAATGGATAGGATAGAGGTCTTCTAAACCTTTGGTATAGGTTCAAATCCTATTGGACATAATTTAGAATTGATTTCTATATGGAATATATAATATTTATATAATTATATATTTTGTATATTATAATATATTAAATTATTATATATAATATTCTAAATTATTATCTATATAATTAGATAATTAAATTAGAATTCTAATTTTTATATTTCTATTTTTATTAAAAAATAGAATTTTATTAAAAATTTCTATTTAAATTTAAGTAAGTTAGAATTTAATTTAAGTTAGAATTTTCCATCTGCCAGGACAAACAAATCGGGAAGTGATGGTTCTTTCATTGCATTGATTCTAACTAGCAAAGGATCTCTCTGTTACTTACTTTGAGAAGAGAATCGGTTGTTTTACCAATGAACTATGTGGGAAAATGGACCACAGTAACCATCAAACCAGAGACCAAAGCAGGGATCGAAATAAAAGCCTAGACTTCAATTAAACCATGAAAAAAAATAAAAAAACAACAAAAATAAACGTAAACTCATCACGGAAGTGGTAATCCATGTAATCGCCGAAATTCTTCATTTCTAAAAGAATAATAAAAACGTTTGTATGTCGACGAAGCCTGACCTCCATGCCTAGTGCTAGTTAACAACGACGAAAGTCTCTCCTCCATTTGCCTCTGAATTTATTCGGATCGAAGATCATTTAAATCTTCGACTTCCCCCTCAAGTAAATCGAAAGCTTCATTTCGAATGTTTTCATATGGGGAGAGCTGGACAATGCGATCGATATTGTCCTCCGAAATCATAAACTAAAATAGGATTTCTTGCAATAATGCTTCCCCCCCAAAAAAATTTTGTAGTTCTATATATTCTATGTGCATGGCTGAGCGTAGGTGATCAACAGTGATCGCTTCATCAAAATGCTCTCGAACAATGGACTCATATTTTCGTGGATGGGTCTGTGGCGGAATGTTATAATAGTTACCATTCTCTAGAGCACAAATTCTAGAGAATATACTTTGCTCCTAATCTGCTGCAGAAATAGATCTATAAGTATTTAGAGATTTCGAGCTAGAGGAGGATTCAAAAGGAGAGATAGAGGAGGATTCTAATGGAGGAAGATCCCCCTAACTAGAGTCTGAAGAGAACCAAAAAACTAAAGACACTTCGAGTAAAGAAGAAAGGATATCAGAAAGGAAAGACCATAAGCTCAAAGTAAAAATAAATAAACAAAATAGATTAGCAACAATAGAATCCAACCATTTATTCCACTTTTTAACATCGAAAAGAGATAATCAAAGTCATTAAGCTTATTAATAAAAGAAAGAGAAATGTAGCGGTGCACACGATTCTACCTAATCCGATACCTAAAAAATAACAACGAAAAAACAATGAAAAAAAGGATCAAGAATAAAAATAACTGTTAAACAAGAAGCATTGTAATACCTCGAATATCGGGTTAGTGACTATATTGAAAAGATTTAAAAATTTGGAGAATTAAATTGAATAAATGGTAAAGTATAAGAAATGATCTAGGAAATTATGTTAAGACCAATTAGTAAGAATGAAAGAATGAAAGGGTATTTTGGTCTTTTAGAGGGAAATATATTTAAAATTTATTATATTAGGGTTATTTAATGGAGTAAAGGGGAAAATGTTGAGAAAAGCCAAGTTATATTCTTCTTCTCTTTGCTCGTCCCGTGCTCTCCTCCATAGCCAAAGGTAAGGCTTCATCTAGGTAGTTTTTTCTTTCATTTTTGGTTTGTTCTTGAAACCTTAAGTGACGTGGAAGCTTAATGAAGGTTTAAAGAGGATTAAAACTAAGAGATGGATGATTTATTTGAGATTGAAGAAAATGAGTTTTTGAGTGATATGTTGAAATATAAGTTTATATTGAGGTTTACAAGTAAATTTGACTAGTCAAAGAAGTAAATGAGAGATTGAAAGCCTTGGATGTGATTAAAAACAAATTGGAAAAAGTAGTGTGATTCTTGGTGTGGAGTGTTCTTTAGAGAATTTGGATGTTATAGGAAGATTAATGAAGCAAAGTTAGTTGAGTTAAGTAATGATGAGTTTAATAGTATTCTTGAAGGTAAAAGGAAGAGAATTTAATGAAATTTGGGTAAAAATCGAGTTGAAAATTTTAAAATCTAGGCATGAGTATTGGTACAGGAAGAACAGTACCGATACTATAGGTTTAAATTTAGGGAAACATGATGAACAATATCGATACTGCTGTGAGTATCGATACTAAGAAGAAGATATCAATACCATGGATTCCAGAATACAAAAATGGTATCGATACTGAAAGGAGTATCGATACCATAGTATAGAAGTATCGATACCATACTATGGGTACCGATACTATTGAACCTGAAATGTTGTAGATAGGATGAATTTTAATAGAATTGAATATAATAGTACTTTTGAGTGTTATTCAAGTATAATGTTTGATAGTATTCTAACATTTGTATGGTATGTGTAATAATGGATACTTGTGTAGATCGTAACCAAGCTCCGGAGTCAAGCAAGAAAAAGGGCAAGGATAAAGTTGTCGAGTAGTCGGACATCATTACAACATTCTAGTGAGGCATAACAGGTGAGTGCATTTATTATGTACATTAAGAGTTATAAGTGCATGTTGTTAAATGTATATGTTGCCTTTTTATATCAATACTATGTGTACTATCGACACTAAGTGTACAACTCACATAATTCATAATAAGTTTATGTACGACCATATCAACATTGTGTGCAACCCACATAATTCATAATAAGTTTATGAACGACCGTATCTGCACTAAGTGTGCAACCCACAAAATTCATAACAAGTTTATGAACAACCGTATCGACACTAAGTGTGCAACCCTCGGAAAGTTTATGATTGATTGTGTTGACACTAAGTGTGCAACCCACGTAATTCATAATAAGTTTATAAACGATTGTATCTTCACTAAGTGTGCAACCCACAAAATTCATAATAAGTTTATGAACGACTGTATCAGCACTGCGTGTGCACCCGAAAGAACTTATAATGATTTGTAAACAATAAATATGTATTTGATAGTTATGATATACTGATGTATGGATTTCACCTCATTAGTGATATTGCCTTACTAAGTAAATAATTAACGTGTGTTTATTTCACGTTTAGGTTTTTAACGAGCAGAGTAAGGAGTGCATCTGACATTGTTATTCAAGGGTTGCCTCATCAGTAATTGTTTGACAGCT